AAATTTTGAAATCTCATTTAAATCATTCGTAGCAGCAGCAACTAGTTAATACATATTGATACACACAATTCGCTGGCGTAAAATTCGAATGCATTTTCATACAATAAATTGTCGGCAATCGAATGAAATTAAATGAGAATTTAGCATAACCAAAAACCAAAAAGCAAAAACCAAAAAAAAAATAGCAATATATTCCTTTAACATTGCACTCAACATTCAACGCCCCACTTCTTCGCTACAGATAAATAGCAATTTGGTATAGACCATAATTGATTTTTCTGGAATTGCGTAAAAGCAACAACAATAGCAAGTCTAGCTAACAGCGGAGTATTTGCAATATTTTTGCCTAAAAGTAAATAAATTGCTTAATTGAAAAGTGTGGCGTAGTAAATATTTTATTATTAACTGTGGTTGAACCACCACATAATGCCCACAACTGAAAAAACGCTAGTATGTATGTAGCTAAAAATATAACAGTATTTAGGTGGTTGGCGGTTGCAATCAGTCAAGCCAATGATGTACGGTGAAGTGAGTGACATGCAATGAGCAGAGTAATTTTGAGTAATTAAAGTTTATGGTTGATTTAAATGCACAATATTTGCTTATTATAATAGCAATTGGTGTGTTTTATGTTCGTGGTTTTAAACTAAATCATTAAATAATATGCATGCATGCACGAGCATTTAAAAGTTCAAAAGGTGTGGAAACATAATTTATGTGCCTAAGTAATGAGGTCATGAGTATGTATTTGGTTTTAGAAGTATGTATTGCAAAAATTTAGGCTATAGAGTTCGGTTCGTCGAAAAGTCCCGAAAGTATTATAAATAATTCAAATATCTAAGAATAAGAAAAAAATTCTTCAAATTCTCGCTCTCTAATTTTTGTGGAAATGTTACAACTATTTCGGGTGGATTAAAAGCTGGACCCATATACAGTATGTGTGTATGTTTCGTCGGCTGATTGGAAGATCGCCTTCGTCTTGGCAGTCGGTTCGAAAAAGCCCCATCTCAGCAAAACTGTTGAAAATCGCCCTATTTCAGAATTTGGTGGTATAACGCCCTATCTCAGCAAGTGATCCGAGAAAGCGCTATCTTTGCAAATGGTCCAAAAATGCCCTACCTCAGCTGCCGATATATTGAATTTATATTGAGGATGGTACCGTGATGTCCACGTAAGTAGGAAAAGCTTTTGGCTGACATTCACCTGGCAGTGGCCATATGTGATTATTTACCGTACGGTTCAAATCGCAGCTCTCTATGTCCGGGTATTTATATCCACGTGTCCTCTGCCCTATAAAAACATTTTCTGCAGCAGAGAAATGTCTAATTTTCCTTCAACATATGTATGCCGCGACAGTTCTATCACGAAGTAAGCTCATTAGGTTGATTTCAACCCCAGATTATGAATATACTTGACTATTGCCTCTGGAGTGACATTGTTGAAGGCCCCCTAGATATCGAAGAAGGCCCCTACTACATAACCTTCATGCTTGAAGGCTTCCTCTGACCACTTTACCAATGTGTGCAGGGCGGTATTCACCGACCTTTCCTTGCAACGAGTATATTGAGCTCTTGAAAGACAGTCACGAGGAATCGCGTTTCTTATGTACAGGTCTATCAGTCTCTCTAGCGTTTTTAGCAAAAACGAAGAGTCTGGTAGGCCTAAAATCCCTAGGGGAAACAGGAGAGTATTTTCCTGCCTTCGAGATAACCGCAAGACTCACTACGCTCCACATTCACATAACTAGGATCCAACCAATTGCACGACACCTTCAGAGTTTTTTGCAGCTGCGCAGGTATGATGCCATCGGCCCCCGATGACTTTAATGTTTTGAACGAATTTATCGCCCAGGCCATGTGACGATCGTCCAGAAGATCGGAGTAGTACAGGACCTGGGGGGAGATTCTGTAGCGAGTTAGCGACAATTTTCGAATTGCTATCGCACTATTTGATACATGATATAAATGTTTTTGCGTCGAAGCGATCCGAAAATTTTCGCTAACTGGTTACAGAATCTCCCTCCTGAAGTACAAAATATCGCAAAGAAGTACATTTGACTTTACTTCGAAGTACGAAGTACAAGAGCGAAAAAAGAAGAAAGAAAGTACGGTTGGTCACATTAGTGTAGAATAATCCATGGGGGTGAGAGCATTACAACTCCTACTTTACTTTTTCACATGCATTTATATACCACCATAATGTGCATACACTGACGGAACAAAGTATTGGCACAGCAAATTTTTCACAATATATGCAATTTTTGTTCTAATATTTTTCCGGTAATTTTGTATAAAAATATGGTTCATTCCAAAACAAAAAATATAAAAATATAATTCCTAAACTTTGTGCAAAACTCGCGAAAATTCAGCAAATTTTCAACAAAATTTGCAACTTTTTAATCAGATGTTTTAGAATTTTTTTGAGTATGCAGTTTTACAGCCCATTAAATTCTTGTAAAAAAAATAGTCAAAAATGTCGTTGATTTTTGAGAATGGTTTTTGTTGAAGGTGTTTTGCATTTTTTCCATATAAAGTATTTTCGAAAAAAATGTTTGTATGGAAAAAATTGCCAAAAATCAACAGTAATTCCTAGCTACTTAAAACTTGCACTTTGTATAATAAAATTAATTGGGCTACAAATCTGCATACTCAAAAAATTAAAAAAAATCGGACTAAAAAGTTGAAAATTTTCATGAAAAATTGCCGAATTTTCGCGAGTTTTTGCACAAAGTTTAGGAGTTATATTTTTATGTTTTTTTGTTGTAGAATGAACCATATTTTTATACGAAATTAGCGGAAAAATATTAGAATTGTTGCGTATATTGTGAAAAATTTTCTGTGCCAATACTTTGTTCCGGCAGTTTAGATGTGTAAAACCCGGCCATATGGAGAATTTGTTTAAGCAAAAGTTACTTAAGTGTGAACCAGAATGTTTTAGTCCTACATTTATAAAATTTAAATAGTATTAATGCAATAACAATTTCAAACATTGTCAGGATTAAAACTTTGACTTTTACTTTCGACCCAAAATAGTTCCATTTGAGAACCGACTTTTGTTGAGAAAAATTTAATTTTGTCTTGAGTTTCGACAGCACTTTCATTATGTATGTATGTATACAGTTATCTAAATATCTATACTTGACAATATATATGTATATGAATGCAAAGCTAATCATTATAGTTGCACTCAACTCACCCAGTGGCGTCTTGTATACTTACATATGTACATGTGTATGTACTTATGTATGTATGTATGTCTATTTACAAATAAACTTACCCTCCCTGTGTTGCACTCGAAATGGACAATGTGAAAATTGAATTCGTATAGCCATCACAATTGCATGAATCTGTATAACGTCCACCATTGCCCGATGCCCAAACAAATATTGAGCCTTTGCCTTGTCGGCCGCTTGTCACGCCATAGATGAAAGCGCGACGCGCCAACGGCCCAGGACCATCCACTGTCGAGCCATCGTCCTCGGGTCCCCATGAGGCACTGTAGATGTCAATGTGTGATGGATTTAAACTCAATGCTTGCGCCTCTACAACATCATTCACTTTGCCATCCAACATGCGGACGCCTGCAAAGATAAAGTGTGTGAAAAAATGGAGAAAGATAATAAAATAAAGAATATCTTGGTAAGTAAGCTTGATTTATGTATATACATACATACATATACAACACAAAGCAGAACAAAGGGAAATTGGTATGAGGGTAAGGAAGATGGAATACAAATGGAAAAACCTGCAACCGGAAAAGGAACTGTACGCTCTGCGTACAATTAATGGGTAGGAAGGAGGAGGCGAACTCTGGGGTGTCATGGTGTCGCGGCGGCAATAACACAACGCAAACAAATTTATACAAATCTCTACGACCACGAATAACTCAATTATTTTGTAATGTTACATCTTATTAAATTAATTTACCAAGTGAAGACTAATAAATCATTTCGGTCAGTGAATGGCATTCTACATGTATGCCTCTCTGTACCCATCAAAAAAAAGCTAACGCTCCAGTCGCTACCAAACTCCTGAGTAAAAATGCTTTCTTCTTCTTTGTTTAAGATTTTTATTCAAATAATAATTAAAATTATTATGATTTTTTCAACATTTTGATGATAAAAATTAAGCTCAGGTAAAATATATTGTATACAAATTCATTGTGGACAATAAACCAATATATCCAACGTCTATTTTGCAGAGCAAACTTACACAAGTTTCAGTGGTGGCTAAAAAGAAGCAATCAGTGGTAATGAAGGCTGAAGAAAATAACCAAGAAAACCCCATTTTAAGCGCTTAGATAAGCACTAAAACATTAGTAAATATGCTTGAACATATGCTCGAAAAACAACACATTTTAAGTACAGTTTAATGTTTTGTTTTTCATTAAGTTTATTTCAAGGACTGAAAAATTACAATTGACAATCAAGTGTTGCTTGATATTCTCAACTAATAGAGGTCTGCATAGGTCGTTCCAATTTTTTAAATATTCGTTATTCTCTATTTGAGATAAATTATTTTTAATCTCTTGAATAACAACAAAACTTTCCCGTAGAGACAAAACCTTGGTTTTAAATTTTTTTAACCAAGCAGAAATGCAATTGAATTGAATAAAAACCAAATCTGCCTGAATGTTATTATTTGTAAACATTTCTTTAGTTCGACGAACAAAAAAAGCGTCCAAGAAATGATCAAGAAAAATCTACTGAGCCAAATTTTCTCAAGCAGTACGAGGTTCTTAAGAAATTTGCCACGCTTGCTACTGTGATTTGCTTAAGTTTGTTTGTGAGGAGTACAAGGCACCGTTGTTTTCAACAGAAATATGTGCCCGTTCCATTATTTCGTAAGGAAAAAGGGAGACAGCAGGCTGTAAAATAACAGATGTCGAAGCTCCTTGGAAATAAGCAAAGTAAGCAAGCCGTAATTCCTAATTCCATGTTTCTCCATATAATTTTATAATATATCTATGTATGTGTGTACATTAGTAATTTATTTACTTACCTCCAATGCTAGCATTGTAAGCGACGCCCACACCGCAGTAGTTGTTAAAGGCCACCGCAGCCACTTCACCTGCACACCTGGTGCCATGTTTGTTGTCACCATTATCTTGCGGCGTTGGATCCGAATCGTTGCCGTTTATATCGAAGGAAGCATCTGGATCCTAAAAAAGAGATAAATTAAGATGTAATTTAGGCTTCATTTTTCCTCAAAAATTTTTAAGAATTATTTATGTACAATATACGTATATGTATGCCATCTTAAAATTTGGAAAAAATGCCAGCAATTATCTCCAAGCATAATACGCGTGCAGCAGCGAAAATTTAAAAATTTTACCCGCTGCATGGTGTAACACCCACTTTGAATTATCTAATTATTTATAAAAAAATTTTTGCTTGACTTCGCGGACCAAAAAAAATGTGTATCTCAAATTTCTGATATGGTTACAGAAAGAATTCTATGTTTACTGTTTTCACAAAACATATCTATTCTTACCAAGAACATGATAAAGAAGTTTTCGAAACCCTTTGGTTGTTAACATAATAAAATAAGAAGTAAAAAAAACTAGTTCGGGCAAAGCCGAACATTAAACACCCGGAGCACGTATTACATATAGTTTTTTCACCTTTCCAAAAACAACCGTTACTTGGTAAGAAGGGGTGGTTTTACTCCTATTTCAAACATCCTCGATAGTATGCTCAGTTAGACTTAATGAGACAAAAATAAATAGTTATAAGTTGGCAGTACCACGCCAATTTTCAAAAATTCAATAATAATGTTATATCTTTTCAACGGATTGATGTGAGTATCAACTTTTAGTAAATTAGCGTCCCGAAATTTTGAAATATCGAAGTATCGTTATATGAAAAGTGGGCGTAACTTATAACAAAAATTTGTTATAAACGTATTTCTTGCTAAAGTTTTATAGCAAACATCAGTTCTGAATAAATTAGATTGAGTAGTCACTGATGTATCGAAGATTTCGTATTTCTCTAAGTTACCGTTATATGGAAGAGGCGTAGTTATATTTCCATTTTAAAAATTTTCAGCCGTTCGGTATGTTTTACCAGAAGCAAAAACTGTGTCAAGTTTGGGATAAATTGGTGCAGCGGTTGCCGAGATATACACATGTAATCATAAGTGGGCGTGGCTACGCCGGTTTTTTTAGAAACTTATAATATTCGTATTTTTCACCTAAGGATCATTGTAAACATTAATTTTGAGCGAGTTTTCTTATTTCTGAAAACTACCGTTATATGCGAGGTAAGCGTTGTTGTTGGCGGATTTTGCCCATTTTCAATACCAGCCGTCCTTGGCCCAAAAGAAATACACGTACCCGGTGCGTTTAAATATCTCAAGTTTTATTCGAATTATCGTGTGCAGGGACGGACGGGCAGATAGTCATGGCTTAATAGATTTTTTTTTAAATCTGAGCATTTATGTATCGTTTGTCTATCTCTAATTCAATTCCCTTAAGGCTGAATGAATCGTGCCATACCATAGTCATAACCATAGCAACTAAATATTTCGATAAAACGTACGCGCAGCTCTGAAAACGATTATTGGTGCCATACTATAACACCAGAGCCATAACCATAACTGAAGGTATCTATTTTATTACAGTTTTTCGCCATAATCATAAACAGCTGTGAAGAATTTTGCTACATTATGGCTAAGGTGTAATGGTTATGGCACCTCTAATTTGATATTTAAGCTAATAAAACAACCCTTATGTGAACAAAGTTATAATACCCTTGTGCACAAGTGCGCTTTGGTGTAAAAAGGCAACAAAGAAAATAGGATTGTGGGGTCGGCGCGACTTCTGGCAGGCAAGTTTTAGCTACGAGTTTGTATAAATTCTATTCGAGAACTAGGTCATTCTCTAGCAAAACGAATTCTTTGTTATCCAATGTATTTTCCCTTCATTATGAATTCAAAATACAGCCCATTATCGAATTGAAATTTTAATGAGAGAGAGTGAGCTGGATTTCACTTTCTGTCTTGTTACTATGGTTTTCATTTTTTTTTTCGAATCCATATCGAGTTTGTTTCCAATATAAGGCAGGTATGCAGCTCTCAAAAAAAAGCAAAAACTCCATATAAAATTACGTACAAAAAATGGCTAGGAAATTTTCTTGAGTAAAATTTCCTTAAGGCAGTACGCAGTTCTTAAGAAATTTGCTACGCTTTCTACTATGGTTTTCTAAAGTTTTTTTTTGTGAAAAAAGAGCACAAGGCAACCCATGTTTGCAACAGAAATATGGGCCCGTTCCATTATTTGTTGAGGAAAGAGTGAGGCAACATTATCCGATGTCAAAATTTCTTGGACACACACACGAAGTAAGGGCAATTTTTTTTCTTGACGGTTTTCTTGAAAGCTGCATACTGGCCTAAAAATATTATGAACGTTGGAAAAATAAGGTTTGTTATTAGTTCGTTATCAGTTATATATGCATATTGAATATCTAAGGTAATTTTCGAACGCTCGCCACAATGTATATTGGCTAACTTGTATAGTCTTTAATTAATAATTAAACAACATCAACTCTGGATGGTATCGTGGGGGTCGCGTGACGCCCAACACTTGTATACCTGCGTTATGGTAAGTGATGCAGCGCTGAACATTCGGCACCCGCCGCGAGTCGCGACGTAATGAGAATACTTAAAATGGCGGTTTTGTATGGTCCGAAGCTTTTTAGAACACCGGAAAAACGTCCTATGTGGCATCCTTGCGGCCCCACGATATCAGTTAAGGGTTCAGTGTAAAACATCCATGCGGTTGGTTTCGAAATAAATATGTAACTCAGGTAATTGAGATATCGCAGAGAAACTAAGTACGTATTTTTCCCTTGATATAAGTTAAAATTTATAGTGAAAATGAGTTAATAAAACTAAACTAGTTGAAAACAATAGAGTTCCGCTAAAACGAAAATAAATTTTACCAGAAGTACGTGAAGTATTTATGACAAAAATTTTGACAACTTTTTTCAAATCAGTGCGAACTCTTAGCCGCTTGAAATTTGTACTTATCAAAGCTTAATCTGCTATGAAACGGCTTATCTCAAATTTTTCTAACATTTTAAGCAAGCGTTTTTCTTTGGAACAGCAAATTCCAGTTCTAGATCACTGTGCGGCGGTTATTTACTCCAGCGGTTCTGATCATTGATACAAGGCATTCTCTTTAAAAATATTAATATTTTGTTTATATTAAAATATTAATTTGAAATACAATAGGGTAGATGAACATGATAAAATAATGAATTTGTATGGAATTTATAATTTCATCACGTTAGATGAATGCCCCTTATATGAAAAAGTGTTGATTTTAGAGTTATAACAAATCAAGTTTCTCATGTTTTTTTTTTTTTAATTTAATGTTTGCCATAGAAATGACAATCATTTCACTTTAGAATTTGTTTGACTCAAATAATTATTTTGTTGAATTTAACATTGATCTAAAAGTGTATTTGAGAAATAAATAACACATTTGCTTTGTCCTTTTGAGATCTTAGATCTTCAACTTCAAATAGACTTAAACATAATAGCTAACTTTTTCAAATCCAGCTTAATCGAATGCAGTTGTCCTGATTCCCATCACCTCCATTTTTTTTTTCGAAATTTGTTGCACTTTGCATTTCTAATATTTTTAGACAGAACAATGCAATTTAAGCATTTGTTTCGAACAAAGTCTATGGCCCATCCCCAATACTGCTACGGGGGATTATAAAAAAGTAATAATAAAAAAAAAATAAATACTGACACGTTCATATGGTTGTAGTTTTGTAGTGCCATAAGTTGTAAACTTTGAATGTTTTTTTTTTGTTTATTTTAATATACAAACTGGAAATGAATGTATTGTTGGCGCTCATTATTTCAGCTCAGCTGTAAATATGTTTGTTTTCAACAATCGCGCTAAAATTTATTTACGAAATCATTTGGGAAATCAACGAAATGAGTTTCCTCTCCGTTTTCAATGATGCCAGCTAGACACATTTGCTTCTATTGCAATGTGTGTGCCGTTATTGTTACCTTTCTTTTTGCAATTTTATGATATTTTCTAAACGTTTTTTTTTGCTTTTCTTTTTCGTATATCTTTCTGTATAGTATTTCCGTTGTCATTTTTGTTATTCCAGTGAAAACAAAAAAAAATCGGCGAACAAATACCCGATGTGATGCTCTTTGTTCGAGTTTTTGATAACTGTAAAAGGTAGGCTAGCATTTGCAGTGGAATAAATGTGGATATATATGTATGTGGGTATGCGCTATGATATTACGTTTATTGCCGCTAGTGGTTTGGCAATAATTTTGAAAACAATCAACTCTTGAATAGTGGGTCATTTATTTTGTTGCCTTAGGAAAAGGTGAGATCCATTTTGGTGGAATCAGAAACAAAAAAAAAAAACAAATCGACAAACAAAAGCGGCAGAATAGCTGCTACAATTTAATCATCCGAGTGCGCTTGTGTATTGGCAAAATGACGCAGAGGTACTCAGCTGTTCAGCTGTTCCCGATATCGTAGTTAATCATAATTCCTTTTTGCGATTTTAAATTATTGCAATTGCTTTTTATTACAGTTTTATACACTTTGGGACTTTGTTTGTTTGTTTATTTTAACACTTCGTTGTAAAGGATTTTGCTTTTAAATGTGCTGTTCAGTGTTTTTGGCATAAATTTAAACAAATTGTATGAAAGTGCAAAGATCCGCTGATTTATGGTTTTAATTTTAAAACATATTTCAAACTAATGTATGCTGCACTGAGAAAACAAAAATAAACCATATCGATTTTGATTCAAACAAAACACATATGATTTTGCGCCAAACAAGTTTTTGTTTACTTTGAACATACTAATTTTTGGGTATTTTTTCGTTCAAACACGATTTAAATTTGCACTTCACATATGCTTTTTCATAATTACGAAAAACTGAAAATAAAAATTTAAAATTATATGTTCCGCCCAATGAGATTAGAGTGTGGACGCTCTTGGCAGCAACCAACTCTAGCCAGCATCTCTGCGCACTCAGCTACAAAGAAAACATGTAATACGGCGTTTCCACGATTCATAATTCGCTCTCTCATTCGTAATTCGCTCTTCCAGTCGTCATTCGCCTTGACAATTACCTTCCGAATTACGTAACTCGCCATACAACATTTTGAGAGCGAA